TTCATCGTTTGCAAGCAAATTTTTTCTCGACTCACATGCGCAAAGACGTCCAAACATTTGTAGCCCAATGTTCCACTTGCCAACTAATGAAATACGAGACCAAACGCCCAGCTGGACTCCTCCAACCTCTTCCAATCCCTTCGACAATTTGGGAAGATTTGTCCTTAGACTTTATCACTGGCCTCCCTACTTCACAAGGTCACTCTACAATTCTAGTTGTCGTGGATCGTTTCTCAAAAGGGGTTCATCTTGGGGTTTTGCCTTCTCATTACTCAGCTTACAAGGTCGCTATGTTGTTTGTGGATATGGTGTGTAAGCTTCATGGATTTCCCCGTAGCCTGGTGTCAGATCGTGATCCCATTTTTATCAGTCACTTTTGGCGCGAATTGTTTAAATTGTCTGGTACCAAGTTACGAATGAGCACCGCTTATCATCCCGAGTCTAACGGCCAAACTGAGGTATTCAACAGGGTTTTGGAACAATATTTGCGCTCTTTTGTGCACGAAAAACCCTCACAATGGTCAAAGTTCATCTCTCTAGCTGAATGGTCTTACAACACCTCTGTTCATTCTGGAACTGGTCTCACACCTTATGAGATCACTTATGGAAAACCCCCGCCTACAATTCCTCATTATATCTTAGGCTCTTCCAATATTGAGGCTGTTGATTCAGTACTTACTACTCGGGAGGCTCTCTACGAATTATTACAAAAGCGTTTATCCAAAGCTCAGGCAGCCATGAAGCATTCTGCTGATAGCAAACGCCGTGATGTATATTACAAAGTGGGCGACTGGGTTTATGTCAAATTAAGGCCTTATCGACAACTCTCAGTTTCGGGTTCTTATCATAAGCTTTCTAAGCGATTCTATGGTCCCTTTTAGATTACTGAGCGGATTGGTTCTGTAGCTTACCGCTTACAATTACCTCCTTCTTCTAAAATTCACCCTGTTTTCCATTGTTCACTTCTCAAACCTCACCAGGGTCCGTTGGTTCCACACTCTGCTTCTTTGCCAATTCCGGCTATAGAAAACCATCCCATAGTGGAACCTTTAACAATACTGGATTGTAAATTGGATGGCTCCACCTTTCCTCCCACCAAGCTAGTGCTTGTCCAATGGCTAGGTCTTGCACCCGAGGACACTAGTTGGGAAAATTGGGAAGACCTTCGTCATACTTACCACCTTGAGGACAAGGTGTTTTTCCCAGGAGAAGGAGATGATAACAACATGGCTAATACTCCTAGGCCCAAAAGGATCCCCAAAAGGCCCAGCCACCTTCAGGACTTTGTTTGATACGAGTCACATGGGAGATGCGTGAATTGGTTACAACGGCTTTTATGTTTACGCATTGTTAGATTCCCTTTTCTGTTTCCGGAATGTGCGGACTGCCAATGGTTGGCATTTGTAATGCTTTTAAATACAATTTTGAGAATACAAAGAAGGCAGAGAAATTTGATTTGTAATTCTTAGATTAATAGTATAACAGTAGCTACTCTTCTACCCTATCAATATGAATCCTAACAACTCACCAAATAAACCAAACAATATTCACGCATATGTTATCCGTGAAAGCAACACTAGATGACCAGTCAATTAAAGAGAATTTGAGCACAATTGAAAAGTTATTACAACTTAATCGAACAAAATTGAACTTACCACTAACTGTTCACTTCAGAATCGGGGTGCCTATCCACGGGAACCAGACACAAAACTGGAAAATCAACAGATTTTTCTGAACTCAAATGGATTTAAAATGGAAATGGAGATGACCTTTCATGAGGAGAAGAACCTACAAGGTTTTCAAATGGAAAGAAAGCCACGGTAACGGAGACAACATTTGATGAACACAACAACATCCATGCCAAGAAGATGAAACGAAGACACAAGAAGAAGATTGAAAAGGGAAAGGAGACAACTTTCGCTTAAGATAAGAAGATGGAAACAAAGACAAGGTAACAGAGACAACATTTGACTAAGAGAAGAAGATGGAAACGGAGATACAACAGCGGATCCAATGAAACACGGTGATGGGAAAGGAAACAACCTTGGCTTAAGAGAAGAAGATGGAACCACGTGTCAAGGGAAAGAAGATGAGGCGGCATGCATTTACAAATTGGACAAAAAAGGGGAACCTATGTTCGGGTTGGTTTGTTGGATCATGGTGAAGGGGTGGATCTGATCCAATTTCCCAATTTCTGGTCAAATTTTCAACAACCTAGATGACATGGAGTAAGTGGTCACATGGCATTACCTCATTGGCTGGCCATACAGAGGGCACCCAAACCCTCTATACTCAGAAAGGGCACACAAGGAACATCCTCATAAAAATATCAATAATCATCTATGTATTCATCTATAAAAAAAACACAACTACACTTATAAGATCTATGTAAGCTACAATCAAGCTTTCCTTACATCAGTCACTTTCAAAGGCAAAGAAATCTAAGTAAAAAAAGGAAAAATTGCAGAACCTTGGGGTTTGCCTTCACTTTAAGAATCAGAGTTTTTCAAGCTTGAATCACTACTTCACTAAGCTTTAGGAGAAAATAAGGAGGTTTTCTATGAAATCAAATCAACGATTGGACAATTTGGCTCTAAAGTTTATCTCTTTGAAAACCTTTCTCTAGAAAGTTGAGAAATGACCTTATGAAATTTACTTCTCAAAATTCGCCTTATATACACTAGCCTTCCTCGGACCTGCTTTCAAACACCTTAGCCATGTCTTTTATAACTTAAACTTACGATAATCTCAACTTTAATCCTCGTCCCAACATAGGCAAAACAACATATAACAATTCTTATAGCTTAAAATAACATTAAACATCAATCTTAAAAACACACAAATAAAGAAACATTGATGTTACACTTAATACATATAAATTTTTTTTCCTTTTAGTTCTTTTAGCCGTATGAACTTTTTTTTTTAGTCTCTATATTTACATAAAATTTTCTTTTTATAGTCTTTATAAAAGTAGTTTATATAAACTAAAAAGAAATAAAAATAGTATGTATAAGGATAAAAATAAAATATTTTTATTATAAAGGTTAAAAGATAAAGTTTATGAAATTATAGTAAAAATAATAATTAAAAATAATACGCACATGTTCTTCTGTCTAAAGAACAAAGTAAAACTCATTAAATCCATGATCAACTTATGATATTAAATTACTGTGTCATGCCAATAAATCCAAACTCAAGCTAAAGAACACCCGAGGCTCAAGACTTTAGTTTTCTATATTTTCTTTTGTGAACAACTAGCATAAGTTAGTTGTCATCAACACTTTATGTACTTCATTAACAGTTAAAAAAAGAAAAAGGTGCTTAAACAGTTATTATTTTAAATTTATACGAATAACTAGTATAAGTTAGGTTTAATTACGTTTTTGATCCCTCAAATATTGTAATTGTGCAATTTTAATCCCTAAAATTTAAATTGGGTAATTTTAGTCCCTAAAAGATTGTAATTGTGCGATTTTGGTTCTTCAATTTTTAATTAAACAATTTTAGTCCCTCAAATATCCTAATTGTGCGATTTTACTCTCTCCCATTAAAAATTTAATAATTCTAATATATATATATATATATAT